TCACTTCTTGGCTTGTTGCCCCTCTGTATTCAAGAATTATGCATACTTACAGTTAGAATTTTTCTGCAGTTTTTGCACTCGAAGGCGTTTTTCCTTCTCTTAATTCCTCTGTTCCATAGTCAAACCATCATGCACACAAACACCACATTCACACTAGGCAAAGTGGGTGAAGTCTCATGCCAAAGGACACAACAACAGTATGCACTTAGTCCGAGTGGGAATCAGTCTCTGACCTTCGAGTAGCCCTTCAGAAACACTTTTCATGCACTCCTGCCTCATGTATGTAGGTGATTTCTTAATTCACAAATAAGTGCAGTCATTTATTTTAGGTGACATAAAATTAAAATGTTATTTAAGTGATAAAGCAAACATAAGGTCCCTATGCTCTGCTTTGTTATGAAGATTATCCTGTGTAATCCCAGACCAGACGACCCTGAATCTTGTTAAACATGCTTGGAAAAGAGAGGGTATTTAATAATAGCTCATTATCTGCCTGTGGTAGGTAACTGCTGCCACACTGAGCCCAACATTCCTGCTAACAACAAGTAGTTCCTCTGACTCAACTTGACCCAAAGGCTACACAGGATTTCCAGCAATGTGAAGTACTTTGTGAAACGCGACCCCCATGTATTTCAACCAACTGCTGAGATTGTAGATCTACTACATATTATACTATATATACTTTCTAATTACCTTTTTAGCTACAAAGAATTTATTGGCATCTTACTTGACTAAATCCATGTTTCACATGTGTGGTGTTGATATTTTTTGTGTCTCTAAAATATTATAACTTTCTTGAACTCTTATTGAACTGCAAACAAACAAAAATAAATATTTTGTCCACAGTTCTTGAATGATACCACTAACACTAACACATTAGGAAAGGCTATTGTCATGGTGTTAATTTCCATTGACTTATTATATTATTCTTGACCCGGTTTTATTTTGTATTTCTCTAGCCGTATGTGTTTTGACTTCCTGTTGAATGGATTGTTTGCCCCACACTAATGTGTCTCGACCGTGTCTCATTCATGTGTGTGCATATATACCCTGTGTTCTCCTTTGCCCTTTGTTGGTTCATTTGTCATTATCAGCATCATGTCTGTTTGGATTTTTGTGTTTGGTCATTCTTTGTTTCATTAAACAACTTCAGAAATGTAGTCTTGCATTTTGGGTGCTACTGCTGCTCTAAACATGACAGCTACATTAGTCGAAAACAGCATATTAACATGTTTCACAACCAGTTTCACTTTAGTTTTTGATGAGGGAACAACATCATAACCTGGTGGAATCATGTGTGACTTTCAGACATTGTAAACACATTTTACTGTTTCTAATTAATGTAGTTTTAGAAACTATTGCACTCTAACTTGTGAATTTTCATATTATTTATTAAGTGCACTTGCACACAGGGGCAGAGTAAGACCGTCGTTACATTAAATGGTAATGTGCAGCAGAGGAGGACTGCATGCACTGAAGCTGGCTCTAATGTGAGCGTCTCTGGGCAGAGCTGTAGATGTGCTGCTGCTTTGCTCTTTTTCTGTCTGTGTAGAGAGGTACAGGCTAGTCACAATGGGCCTGGGTGGAGATGTGTTCATTCAAAGCACTTCTAACACACCTGGGTTCACTATGGTTTGTTGTTACAGAGATGAGTGCGGCACAGCTGGTTTCAGCATGTGCTGCTTGTGTGCATGATTTAATATTGTAAACAACAAGAATTACAATAAAACTATGTCCTTCAACTGACAAAAATGTCTGATTAATTATCAGTTTTTAATTTATTTTTTTCAGAATCTTTATTTTAAAATATTGAGAGGCATAGCACAACATCCTTGATATTTGCATGTTTACATAATCATCATAATAAAGGAGAAACAGAACAAAGGAAGTATCAGCAGAAACACGGAGTATTAACAAGAGACATATAACTATAATAATATAATAAAATAACCTCTTCAGATGTACTTTAGATTTGCTCATGACTCTTAGAGCCTTTCCAACATTGTGTTTTTATGCTATGATATTGTGTATCTCCTCTTAGATCCATAGTGGGACATTACTGAGTGGAGAATGTCAATGAGATGTGACAAACCTCAACAGGAATGGTTTACATTAGTTTCACTCCTGTTGTATGAGACGCTACATGAAAATTCTCATTGTTGGATCCTAAGACAATGCAATTCCAGTTCCTGGAGGATTAGAAAATTGGTACTTTTTTTTTTACCCCAAAACACCCCAGTGGCCTCTGCAACATGCCTCACCATTGTGTTTTAAAACAGCCTCTATAATTCTTTTGAGCAGTCCATATTAGATTGTTCTATTTGAATTCTCAAAGCTTTAGATGAAGGATGGTTAGCTTAGAAAACATAATGGAGAAAAAGATAAATTGACTGTCGACCATATCACTTCTGATGGACCAAAACCTATCACAATGAAAACTGCTTCTCACTGTGGGTACTTCATTATGGTTTTCTATTCCTGAGACATTAACCACTTACTACACAGCTCCTGCTCCAGTCGTTCAGAGACCGGACAGCCCTTAGCCAAGGGCCCCCAACCCCATACTCCCAGAGCATCCCGAAAAGGACGCCACAAGGGACACGGTCGAATATCTTCTCCAGATCCACAAAGCACATGTGGACTGGTTGGACAAACTCCCATGAACCCTCTAGCACCCGATGGAGAGTGTAGAGCTGGTCCAGTGTTCCCCGGCCAGGACGAAAACCACATTGCTCCTCCTGGATCCGAGGTTCGACTATCGGCCAGATTCTCCTCTCCAGTACCCTGGCATAGACCTTACCGGGAAGGCTGAGGAGTGTGATCCCCCTATAGTTGGAACACACCCTCCGATCCTCCTTCTTATACAGAGGGACCACCACCCCGGTTTGCCAGTCCAGAGGTATTGTCCCCGACCGCCACGCGATGTTGAAGAGGCGTGTCAGCCAAGACAGCTCCACAACATCCAGAGACTTAAGGTGCTCAGGATCGACCTCATCCACCCCGGAGCCTTGCCACCAAGGAGCTTGCCAACCACCTCAGTGACTTCAGCCAGGGTGATGGACGAGTCCGCTTCCAAGTCCCTAGCCTCAGCTTCCTCCTCGGAATTGAGGAGATCCTCAAAGCACTCCTTCCACCGCTGGACAATGTCCCCAGCCGAGGTCAACAGCTCTTCCCCCGCACTGTAAACAGTGTTGGTGAAGAACTGCTTCCCTATCCTGAGGCCCTGGACGGTTTGCCAAAATCGCTTTGAGGCCCGTCCGATAGTCCTCCTCCATGACCTCCCCGAACTCCTCCCAGCTCCGAGTTTTTGCCTCCGCAACCGCATGGGTTGCAGCATACTTGGCCCGCCCGTACCCATCAGCTGCCTCAGGAGTCCCACAAGCCAACAAGGCCTGATAGGACTCCTTCTTCAGCCTGACAGCATCCCTTACTTCTGGTGTCCAATACGGGTTCGGGGATTACCACTGCGACAGGCACCACAGACCTTATGCCCACAGCTATGAGCGGCCGCATCGACAATAGAGGCCGAGAATGAAGCCCACTTGGATTCCATGTCCCCAGCCTCCCCCGGAATCCAGGAGAAGTCCTCCCGGAGGTGTGAGTTGAAAGTCCCTCTGACAGAGGGTTTCCCAACAGACCCTCACTACATGCTTGGGCCTGCCAGGTCTTTCCGGCTTCCTCCTCTGCCAGCGAACCCAACTCACAACCAGGTGGTGATCAGTTGACAGCTCAGCCCCTCTCTTCACCCGAGTGTTCAAGACACGCAGCTGGAGGTCAGATGACACGACTACAAAGTCGATCATTGACCTCCGGCCTAGGGTGTCCTGGTGCCACGTGCACTTATGGACACCCTTGTGCTCGAACATGGTGTTTGTTATGGACAGACCGTGACTAGCACAGAAGTCCAGTAACAGAACACTGCTCAGGTTCAGATCAGGGAGGCCGTTCCTCCCAATCACCCCTCTCCAAGTGTCACTGTCGTTGCCCATGTGGGCGTTGAAGTCCCCCAGTAGAACAACGTCCCCGGGCAGTGCACTGTCTAGTACCCCTCCCAAAGGACTCCAAGGACGCTGGGTACTCTACAGTGCTGTTCGGCCCATAGGCCGACACCGCAGTGAGAGACCTGTCCCTGACCCGAAGGTGCAGAAGCTCTAGGTAATGTCTGAAAGGACGAGATCGCGGATACAAGCGCTTGAAATGGGTTTCCTTCGCAGGGTGGCTGGGCGCTCCCTTAGAGATAGATTGAGGACCTCAGTCACACGGGAGGAGCTCGGAGTAGAGCCGCTGCTCCTCCATGTCAAGAGGAGCCAGCTGAGGTGGCTTGGGCATGTGTTCCGGATGCCTCCTGGGCACCTCCCTCGAGAGGTGTTCCAGGCATGTCCCACCGGGCGGAGGCCCCGGGGAAGACCCAGGACACGCTGGAGGGACTATGTCTCTCGGCTGGCCTGGAAAGGCCTTGGGGTCCCCACGGAGGAGCTGGAGGAAGTGTCTGGGAGTCCCTGCTTAGACTGCTACCCCTGCGACCCGGCCCCGGATAAGCAGAAGAAAATGGATGGATTGATTAACCACTTATTAAATGCTTTTCCACTGTAGCCACTATAGCTGCAGATGATTGCCTTTTAACTATATCAAGATCTGATCAGTGATCACTGACTACATGACATCTTGATCTGTATGTCTTGCGTATTTATTTATTTATTTATTTGATGTTCGTTTGCTTTGGATTGCAGCCATGATAAATTATGAACCACTCGACATCTGCAAGTGCACACAGACATCCAGTGGGCCAAACAGACACACTATGCTGTCCACTTCAAAGCTGACTTTTCTGTGATTTTTATTTTTTTTTTTTAATCCAAGTCTTTTTGTACTATAAAATGCCAGAGTCTCTTCTGTGCTGTTATAGGCTGCTGATGATAGAAGCTACTGTACTAGAATGAAAGTAAGAGATACCTGGTCTAACCCAGCTTTCTTTGTTTCTCTCTCTCCACTTTCCACAGATTTTCCATATGACCTATGACCTGGCTAGTGCTGTGGTAAGAATATTTAATTTGATAGGAATGATGCTGCTTCTATGTCACTGGGATGGCTGTCTCCAGTACCTGGTGCCTCTCCTACAAGAGTTTCCGCCTGACTGCTGGGTGTCCCTAAATGGTATGGTTGTAAGTATTGCATCTTTTTATTTCACTTTTTTATGTGTTGATATTGTTTACACATGGTTTGAATTTTAGCATGTATAAGTATATTTACTGTGTTTAAATTGATTATTCATTAGCCATTAGTGCAGAATTTAAAACACACAGGCAAAACAAATAATAGACAACTAATGACTGTAGAGTCCCATTTGGCAGTAGTCCCTTTAAGTTCTCTCTTATTGTCCGAGTCTGGGCCAAATGGACCAGACTCTCAGGCATTACACACTGCAGTGTGTATAGGCCTCATGGAGTGTATTGTAATTTTTTCAACTCTGGAACATCGCCTTCTCTCAGTTTGTTTCTGACAAACATTCCCACATGCACAGCACGTACGCTTCAGGGCATCAGGCTTGAGGTGCTCTTGTCAGCTTTTCTCATCATCACAAAGCACTGTCCCAATCTTGTTATTACTTGCAGGCTATCCCAGCAACCATGTGCTATTCATGTAAACAGACATTACAGAGAACTGTGCTAAAGGGATAAGATTTCTCACATTACTGTCACAATGCATTCTTACTAATAGCAACTAAAAGCTGCTCCCCATTCAAAGTGAACGAGCTGAATTAGGAACTATATTATACAGTCTCAATGTGTGAGTGATTGGTTGGCCCACAGTCTATTCTTTAAGCTATAGTGAATGACTATGGAGTCTAGCCTGCCCTACAGAGGGCACATAATCTTGTCAATCACAGATAAACAGTTGGCTCAGAGTAGAACGGTAACAGTTGTTAAGCTCTTACAGGCAGAACTGAGAGCTAAAATAATGCATCTGCATGGGCGTGTACCAGTACTAACAAAGTTACATGTTTGTTTTGATCCAGAAAGTTATTGTTTAAAACCTTGACTCAATTTAATGTCAACTGAGCTTGCAGCCGAGGCAAAAAAACAATATGACTAGTGACCACTAAAATTAGTTTATGACCAAACCTCCATATACAGTATGTGCAGGGCAAGACCTTATGAAGGCCCTTTGTGGGCTCTCTTACACAAAGAGGAGGCTGTGTGTTAAATGCTTTTTGATAAATCTAAAGTGAAAAGCCCAGCCCAGTGTGATTCTCTCACCCTATCACAATGCATTAGTGTTCACCATCTCAAATCTTGATAAGGAACCTCGGCTTTTGTTTATCACAGGTAATAAATGCATAATGTGATTTTGTGGCCCTGTGTTTCCTGAGAGGCACATTCTGCTTTGCAGATGCATCAGTGATGACTTCGGAATTCAAATGGTGTTAGATATTTTCCTGTTGTTGCCATGGTAAAAGGGAGCTTGGGGCCAACAAAGGTTGTAGATATACTGCTGAGTGGCACAGTACATGGAGAAGGCCTGTTATCTGCTCAACTAATGGCCTGAGAGGCTTCTTACTCTTTGGAAGCAGCATTTACTTAATCAGGCTCTGAGATAGCAGGGCTGTCACGATGTTAGTGTTGGTGAGAGGCTGACGCACTGCTGCAGGCTGACAATAGAGACACTCACTAGCCCTCTGCAGTGAATGAGACATAAGACTAGCTCTCTACAGTGAATGGGACATGTGACTTTACATGTGTGTTGGTGTCTTAGACAGGCATGTGGAGTAGGTGCTTGAGCAGGTACACATACACAGGAGGCTGACCGTGCTCAACTCCCCTCAGTACTCACCTGTGCTGTCTGCTTTTACCCAGGCACCTCCCACCACTTTCCCATGCACACGTCTCATACATTGATTAAATGACTGTTATACAACCACTGTTTGAATCTTTCTCTTCACTCACTCACTTTTACCCAATATGAGCTGCATATTCACTGAACAACATATATCATAGATAGACCAAATTTTACTGCACAATTTGCATCTTAACATTGTAGGTGTTATCTTCAGAAAAAGCTAACTAAATAGAAATTATTTTGTCATCATCAATATATTAGTATAAAATAAAATAACTATTTTATTATGTATTATTATGTTTTGTTATTAGACGCAATGAAAACATTTAACAAGCATTCAGTGAAAGATGCCACAGCATTAGTGTGTTATTTTTGTGTGCACAGGCAATCTTAAAAAGGCCATATGAGATAACAATGACTGTTATACATGCCCACACAGTTATCAGGAGATGTATTGCACTGTAGGCTGCAGTATATGTTGTAAATACACCATTGGGGTAAGATGTTAGTTTGAGTATCCACATTCATTACACATTTCTGTCACAATTCTTGCCCCTTAGCTTGTTAACTTGATGAAAAGGGTCAACAAGCTCCACTAAAAATACTCAGACAAATTAAACTTATCTTAGTTTTGGTCAATATGGCCATAGGTCCATTGGACCCATGATACATGATGTCCCTTCTGTCCCAAGAACAGCTTGTAGTATGATTATGTAACTCAAAACAAATATTGTGAATCACATTTTTTTTCCCCACGGAACAGCTTGTTGGGTTTTAGCATTACATGATTGAGTAATTAACAATATTAATGTGGTTGCAGTTTGTGTATGATGATTTGAGTTTTGCACATATACTTCTGCACATTTATGAAGAAGTTTTGGAATTTGACTTTTATTTTGTATTGATGAAGGCTGTGTTAAAGGGAAGTACATCTACAACTCAAGTGAAGTCGCTTTAGTTGTAGGTGTAATTTCTTTTATGTAATCACAGTGAGCCAGAAGTGGCCATCTTCGCTAGTGGGCTAACAATCATTTAGAGTTTACAGCTATGACATTTGAAATTTGTTCTACAACAAAGGAGAGTCAAGATAAATGCAGGTTGTGGTGTGACAGGTTGTGCTCCAGACAATACCAAAATAATTTAATAGCCAATTCAATCACCTAACCTCCTGAGATTGTGAGAAAAACATATATTTTAATACCATTTATGCTGCATTTATGGTGTATAAGTATAAAGATTCAGCATTTAAATAAACTTTTAGGAAAGTGATGACTGATTGCTCAAAATTCATGAATTTAACTTTGACAAGAACATGCAGCAAAAGAAGCACACAGTACAGTGTGACAGTTCTGTGCAGCCTTTGTACTTATTTGCTGCAGAGGTGAAAAGATTTGACAGGTTAGAGACTCCACTAAAAGGGCAACAGTATGAACCCTCTCCAGCTCAGGCCTCAGTGGGATTACTCAGCGCTCACTTGGGACACAGTGGTCCCTGGACAGACACAGTTGACATGTGGTGTGTTAATGAAGCCAGATAGTCACACTAGTATCCAACAGCATTACAACAATAGGTCCAAATGTGTTGCACTGCAGTCTTGGGCCTTCCAGAGGAGACTGTCTTTAATGTATAAATGTTTGGAAAGTGTTAAACAGCATTCAAATATTCAGTTCAATACAATTATTTCCTTTAAACTATTTTTATTTTGTCATCTAAGACATTGTCATCATAGTTTTTGTCAATTTCATATTTTTTCTTACTAAAACTACATTTTAAAAGTAATAAATAAATAAATAAATAAATAAACTAAAATGATGACTAAAAACAGATATTTCTATCAAATCACTTTTCATGTTTTGGGTTTCTTTTTTTGGAATTGTAATAATTAAAATCTGAAAGACTGAAATGACTGGAGACCAGATCCATGTTCTACCTTTTCACTCCCAGAACTCCAAACCAAACCATATGGAAACTCATTGTCCAAGGAACATGACTCTACATAACCCCTGAAGCAATGCAATTATTAAAATGACAATTCCGTTAACTACAAGCTAAAGATAATTTTAGTTCCTTTTTAAATCAAGCACAAAGAAGGGTTAGCTCATGTGCAGTTTATGTTCCTCTAAAGAGAATGACTATGCCGCAGACATCTGTAAATAATGCAGGTTTTAGCTTTTTGGTCGCTGACTAAAGTCTCCCACTGGCAAATGGTAAAATGGAAGAGAACAGCACATGGAGAGGGCATGACTCTAAGCACAGGGCATTAGGCAGTGAGTGCACTAGCAGGACGAGTGCTGGAGGTTCAGTGATCCATCAAAGGAAAGCCTGTCTCCATCCGCCGCACTGGAGAGCTTTTTCTTCTGCTTTGCTTGGCAGTAACCCCTTCTATTCTCCACTCTCCTCCCCCTTTTTCTTGTGTGTGTGTTTATTTGTTTTTTGTTTGTTTTTTTCAGAACGTTTCCTGGGGTAAGCAGTACTCCTACGCCCTCTTCAAAGCCATGAGCCACATGTTGTGTATTGGGTACGGTGCCCGCGCCCCTGTCAGCATGTCCGACCTGTGGATCACCATGCTCAGTATGATTGTAGGCGCCACGTGCTACGCCATGTTTGTAGGCCATGCCACAGCCCTAATCCAATCACTGGACTCCTCACGCAGACAATACCAAGAGAAGGTGAGAAAACTATAAATATGATGCATTGTGCAGTGATTGGAGAATATAGTAATCATCTTATTCTACCTGATACTGTTAATCTCTCACAGGGTTCTGGCATATTTGTTTACTTTGGTTTGTAAAATGTATACTTGTGACAGGGATGATACACACACTATTAATACTATTGATTGAGCCTTCACTTTATAGTCCCACCTGTACTGTTTGCATCCTCCTTTCTTGGGCCACATTATATTACCGTTAAATACCAAAGGGAACAGCTCCTCACGTCATGTTCTCAAATAGGAAAATGACCAATTAGCAGTTGCTATAATCTTAAAAGTAAAAACTGTTCCCAACAATAATGATAATAATAATGACTGCTCATTCTGACAACAGAGAATCCTGCTTATTTAGCTGGACTTATATAAATTAGGTCTTTTCTTGTTGGCCCTTTGAACTATTGGGCTCTCCTATTTCACAATATCCAGCTGATGAGAGGAAAAGAGGATTTTCTCCCCCCACCACAAGCCCAATCACACATGGCCACCGGGTTGCGGAGGTCCATGACATGTGTCCAGGCAGCCACCGATCACATTTTGCTCTTCCTTTTCAGTTAATGCCCTATTACATCATTTTTTCTACATGGAGGGTGATTATCCCGTTTTTCAGACAGGCCACCATCTGTGTTTCTGCTGAGTGGGCAGGGCTACTCCCATAACAGAATGACTGATGCACTTGTTTGCACGCAAGCAGCCATCTTTAAGTATCAAACTTTTTTATTTGTGCCATTTAAGAAGATTTGAATGTGCGTGTATAGTGTGACGCAGGAGATTACGGTTAGGTACAGTACATTTTGATCCACTTCAGATTGTGGGAAGAAGGTCTAAAATAAAGAGATTATAAAGTATGTACACTACAAACAAATGGTTACAAACAAATGTAAAGCAAAAAATTTGCAGATTTCTTTTTAAATAGAGTTGGGCTTTTTTCCTTGAATGATCTAGTCTTTTTATTTTATTTTATTTTGTCTTATTAAAAACACATTAAAATTACTATGAATACTATTTCCTGAACAGATTTCTTTCTCTTAGACTCAAACTTAGACTGGCTTAGAGTTAGACAACCTTTATTGATCCACAAATTATTTCGATATATAGTAGCTCACACATCACAATATATAATCATAATCATCATCATCATAATCATAACAAAGTCTCTTTAAAGTCTGAACTCTGCTCCAAATCACGTACCTCTCTATTAAAAAGACCCAAGCTTATCATTGACAATTAAAAATGACTAAATCTCAATCTCAGTTAAAATGTAATTAATTGCATTGCCCTACTTTTGAATAGATTCACTATACAATAATTAATAAAAACTGACTATGGTAATAGGTAGCAACAGTCGTAGTAGTAGTAGTGTTTTCCACATATAGTAACACATTCATTATGTTCAGGCATCTTCACTAATTATCATGACATCAGGTGAGTCACCTTCACCATTATAGGACACACATAAATACCAGTTTATTCATTTACTCCATGCGCCTGACCACACCATTACTCTGATGACCTTGCCAGTCTGTCTCATTGTCAAAGCAATTTAGACGCACCACCTCCTCTTGTTCAGTGCAGGAGGTGCAGAGCCTACTTATAAAGCAGCTAAAACACTTTTTATTGCTTGTAATATTATATTCCAGCTAGTGGTGGAAGAAGTACTCAATTTTGTTACAGAAGTAGAAGTACACAAATAAAAAGGATTTAAAAATGTACTTAAAGAGTAAAACATATTTTGCACAGAATTTGAGATCTAATAAAGCTCCAAATGTCATGATTTAGATTTTTTAAATGTGCTGAATTTTGTTCAACAGAAACAATTGTTATTATTATTATTATTATTATTATTATTATTATTATTATTATTATTATTATTATTATTATTATTATTATTGTTATTATTATTATTATTATCAGTAGTAGTAGTAGTAGTATTAGTAGTAGTAGTAGTATTAGTAGTAGTAGTAGTAATTTGCTCAACATGTTAAAAATAAACCCCTCGACTTTTGCAGGTGTCAAACAATCATAAAAAGACTTTTACTTTTTAGTCCTGTTAAAAAATGTTGTCGTGTAGAAACACATACACACACCTGCTCTCAAATGTAGTGAAGTAAAAATAAGAAGTATCCACTTTAAAATGTACTTATACAGATACCTGAAATGTATAATTTAGTACAGTACTTAACTACTTTTACTTTGTTAAGTCCCACCACTGATTCCAGATTACAGTTACACTTAACTTAACTACACCTTAAGGCTAAGTCAAGGTATTAATGAAGTTTTTTCTTACCCTGAATTGGCATTTGCATGGATTAAAGTGTTACTTGTACTTACTAAACCTGAATTATTCTTATATAAACTACGTTCATTATAAATTGAGCATTTTTCTATGATTTATTACAGTGAATTGATCTAGTAATTCTAGTGTTACCAAATATACATTATATCACTAAGTTGCTGAATGCCTTTTTAACAGTTTACCTTGGGTGTGACAGTTATAACTTTCTTGTTACTTATTTAGATCAACAACCATCAAGTTTGGTAAATGTCGGGAGAATCAGTAGCTTAGTATTTGATGAACAGCAGGACATGTTTGTTACTTGGTGCAGTGTTCTTGTAATTGCAAAAATCATTTTATGATTGAATACGCACAAGCAGACACCTAAATGTCACAAGACAGCCCTGTGAAAATTAATGACAGGAAGTAGCCCACAGCAAACATGAGCGGCAGTCTTTGTTAGCAACATGCTCAGGATGTCATGTACATCTGTTTCACAGCAAATCTGCTTCATCTACATCCCTCTACACATTCACCATTCCTGTATGCTCCCCACTGACAGCTCAGGGGGATGCTATGCTATGGCTGTAGTTGACTAGGATTTTCAAAAGTACGGAAAATAAGACACTACTAAAACTAGTATCCAAAGTAGATACTCATTTGAGCAAATATCCATATTAAAAAAGTCACATTTACAGGACAGAAGTTAACCTTTTTTGAATGACTTTGAGCTGTATCAGAACAAGTATAAGACAGAATAGAGTAGTATACACCCATGGACCACCTGGATGACTGAGGGATTACAAAGGTCACATGGTAATAAAAAAGAAAGCACTACGATTTATTGGGCATTATATTATCATTAATAAAGGCCATTGTATGATCATCATGGTATCAAAAGGGTAATGAGTATCAAGTCTATTCTTTAATATTGAGATTGTGTTTTATTTTAGTACCGTGACAACACTATAGTTGAATTACGAAATTATTCATTGACTACAAAATTATAAATCTTCCAGTTTACTCCCCAAATCATATAATCCTAGCAGAAATCTTGACTGATTAAAATTTCACAGATTAATCAACTAAGCAACTAAAAACCTGCAGTTCTTATTTACTTTTGTTAACAGAGCCCCACAGAGGAGCCAGATTGGGGAATGCATGGTTACCGCATGGGAACAGAACAGGCTGATGGCTAGAATGTATTCAGCCTTTAGTCTGTACATCTTTATCAGGCACAGCTGGTAGTGGTAAGGGGGGCCAAGGGGGTGGGACATCTGGCTGCAGGGGGTTCAAGTTATCTAAGGGCAGAAGATGAGAAGAACACCGTGTAACAGGGGAGCCGCCTATTCATTCTATATGACTGCTTTATTGTAATTACGAGAGTCAAGGTCTGCAACAGTGTAATTTATAATCACCTGCAGTAGTGCGTCATTCAGTCCACATAACTTCATTAATTCCTATGTTTAGTAGAGAACATTTCTGCTGACTCCCAATATGTTACAGCAGTGGTGGAGCATAACAAAGTAAAAGTAGTAAAGTACTGTACATATAAAATTTTTAGGTACCTGTACTTTACATAAGTACATTTTAAAGTGGATACTTTTTATTTTTACTTCATTACATTTGAGAGGAGGTAGCTGTACATTGTTCTCCACATTTTTGAACAGGACTGAAAAGTAAAAATATTTTTTATTACTGGTTGATACCTGCTGGAAAGGCTGATGGATTTGTACTTAGCACATTCATAGTTTGCAAACAAAAATATACAAATAAAAACGCTGATTGATAAAATGCCAATTGAATAGTTTTTGTTGAACAAAATCCAATACAAATCTTTACCAAAATCATAAACATCTGAATATCTCAATGTAACATTTCATTAGATCTCAAATTTGGTGCGAAATACATTTACTTTTTAATCTTTAAATACTTTTACTTAAGTAGATTTTTTTCATATGATACTTTTACATGAGTATTATTATTAATATAGTATTTCCTAGAATTATCTTCCTTTATTGATCACCTGTCCTTTGAGCATGTGTACTCCTCTCAACATGACATAAATATGCTGTTGTGGAGTCATTTAGTGATGCCTGGCAAGCTGATTGTAAATCCCTCTAAAGGTTTGGTCTAGGTTAACGTCTGGTGACAGAGAAGGTCACTGTTCATGACTCATTTTTATACCAGACCCTCATTAGTAATGGCACGGTTGGAAGTTATTCTATTCAACTTTTCTTCTTCTTCTTTTTTTTTTTTTTTAAGAATAAAAATAATTTCAGAGTGATGAAAAGTGTCTTTTGTTATAACATAACAACTGAACAAAATAGTCTTTTAAATGGTCAAAAATCCTCAAAAAGGTCTCCATAACCTCTGAGTAGGATAGCTTCAGCAACCATCTCTTTAAAGATCCTATATTATGCAAAATTGACTTCTGTGAGCTTTGAGTTTTGTATTGTATTTGTAATCCTTTATTATATGTCTGTCAACATCACCAAATCTCAAAATGTTCAAGTAGTGATAGTTTTCAAGTTACCTACCTTTTACCTTTTGTTCAGTAGAGAATGGCAATTCCATGGCTGAAATCATACAAATGATTCTAGTGAAGAATCAGAGTTTAAAAACATAGTGGAGCACTTTCTGTATTACCACATGACATCACAAAATGGGAATATGTTTTTGGTTTGAGAGAAGAACTCAGCCTTAATATCTTGAATTTGGTGTTAAACATGTGTGAATGAAAGAAAACACAACTCCAGGTATGTTTGTGATGAGGAAACAGAATTATAACATAGATCAGAAAACAGTGTAAAATATTATAAATTAGAAATTGTCTCTTCTGGATCATGCTAACCTTGACCTCTGTGCATGTCTTGGATCCTCAGCTCGAGACACTGCCCAGCTGCTCAAAATAAATCAATTTCCCGCAAACAAAACCTCTCGTCTTATCACCTTTCTGCAGCCAGCCGGGGAATCAATGATAGAGCCATTGTGAGTCCCGAGTCTCCTCTCTCTCTGACAATTTCCATTTAGTGAGCCGAAGAGCCGTCCTCCAGACCCAGCTCAGCTGCAGTGGGCCCTTAGATACTGCTGATTACTAAAGGCAATGCCCAAGTCAGTTCCTTCCAGGTGTACATCCAGGTGTCAGCTATGTCTGGGGCAAACCAGGGAAAGAGAGAGAGCGGCCATTGATCAAACTAGATGAGCTCAACATCTTTTGCAACTATGAATCATTGCTTGTTTTCTGATAAATGTGCTCTACCGCTTCATAGAACTTATAAAAATCTACTCCAAATGCAGTGATGCTGGATCCTTAAATGGCTGTAGTTAATCAATGTAGGGCACCATTTTGTGAACATTTCCTCATCAAAATAAACTCTCGTGTTCAACAATAAGGTAATACGAGGTGGAAAGCATTAAAGGTACTTTTGTGTAACTTTTCTGCTGAAGGGTCCATCACCTGCAGGTATTTTTCAGAAGTAAAGCTTCATATAACTGAATAAATATAAGATAGATCTGTTTAATGTAATATCATGGATTTGATGCAGAGAAATGACAAGAAGAAGATGACAGACCCCCCAACTAAAGAAATAGGGTCATTGATAAACCTTTTTATCATCATGGAGACCAAACTAGGCCAGGTTACTGGTCAGATCTGTGAAGAGGCAACCCCCGTTCACTCTCAGAATATTAGTTTTTGTAGGCATTTTTGAGTAATAAAACCACATATAATTGAATAAATGTAAAGTAGATCTGTTTAATCATCTGTTTGTTGTGGAACATTTGAAGCAGAGAAATTACATATCATAGCCATGAAAACGTGTGTGAATAAATTAGGAAAAAGATGCTGAGGTTCAGCTTCAAGTTAGGCAAGCCCCAAGGTACTGTAGAATATTGTATCACTGTACATTACCTTACACGATGTTAACAGTGCAGATTAATGTTTATGTAACTGTCAGGCCATCATTTGAGTCATTTTAGATAACAAAAATCAACAGCAGATTTCATATTTAATACTGCCAAGTTTGTGAATCACTGTAAACAACCCCTAAAAATCCTTCTCCCTCCAGTGTCTCACTCAGTTTCGCTTGTGGTCATTGCTGTTGTATGTTGTGATTCATATCAGATCATGACTTGTTTTACCTATTGGACATAGCGCACTGGGTGCATGAGATAATCTGCGCTGTTACCTTGGTCTGACATAGCCCAGGGCCTGTACTTGTTCCTACTTTCCTTCACCACCTGCCTTCTGCATACCAACATACACAACCGGGCCAGGCCACAGTGCAGCATGCTCACTTTGTCCTCAGCAGTGGCACAAACAGGCCATGAATGCACCACACACTTTCCTATTTGCTACTTTGCTTTTCTAATTTGATGCTAAATGTTTTCTCTATTTTCTCTGCAGTACAAACAAGTGGAGCAATACATGTCCTTTCACAAGCTTCCAGCAGACATGCGCCAGAAAATCCACGACTATTACGAGCACCGCTACCAAGGGAAGATTTTTGATGAGGAGAACATCTTGAGTGAGCTCAATGACCCGCTCAAAGAAGTAAGGCTTTCAACCACTCCTTCTAATTGAAACTCATTTTATTGTTATGGAAAAAGGGATAATATGTGGTGCTTTTGTGGGGTGTAAATTACTGATAGTGTTTTAGAAATGACAAATTCCTGAATTGTCAACAGGGGCACTTTAGATCCAGATTACTCTTGCAATCATATTTTTAGGGATTGGACTATTGGTGCATGTAGGCCTCGCACTATTTATCTTTTGTTCATTAATTCATTTAATTAATTAATTCTTTTTTTTACCATGTCTATATATTAGACTACTTTGCTACTTTTGACAAAATGGTTGAAACCATCATGTAACACAAGTCAAAGTGAAACAGCTGCTATATTACCGCATGAGGTCAAGGACAAAAGTGGCTAAATGTACGCATGGCTAAACCCAACATCTGGCTGAGTTGTTCTGTCCAATCTGTTCTTAATTCATACATAATGCAAAGACTCTACAAACATATTTGCTAAGCCATCTGAATGAAAGACAAAATAAAGTTCTCTGTGTATGGAGGTGCTACAAAACCACTGATTACCATTTTGACTCAGCTGACCTCTCAGTTTAAGCAGATTAACATTCATTACATTAATAACTACATATAGGAAAATGGGAGGAGTGCTTGCAGAGGCAGACACGTGCAGTAATCATGACCATTCCTCACGCAGCCCCATTAAGTCAGCCTGCAGTGTTGAAACGCTGAGGTGTGGGATGCTGCTGCCGCTGCTGGAGACGTTCACAGGTTGCAGGGTATTTTAGGATGTCTTACAACACACACACATTACACACACACATACTGAACCCGCCCGCTTTAGTTCAGACTTCATAGCATGCAAAGCTACAATCTGCATTGTGCTGTGTGAACAAGAACATGCCCAGAGAAAAGTGTGTGAGAGAAAATCAAACATCTGGTTTCCTTTTTAATCTGTTCAATATAAATAATATTACATTCAAGCAAGGAAAAATAACATTGGTTTCATATTAGAAAATTTTACAAAGATTAGGCTGCAGAGTCACTGGGAATTTAGTCAAGAATGGCTACCACTGAAAACTGTATAAATCAAATTTATATACTGTATACTAGTAGATCTCTGCTGAGGGGTGAGTCAAAAGGTGAATGCATTTCTTGAAAGGATATAGTAATCATCTTGGTTTTTATCCTTTACCTTTTAAACATGATTTTTACAAGAGAAATAGAAATTATACATTTGCCTGCAATGGCTTCATTGCTGAGTGTAAGCTAAACTTGTATGTAGCTACATTTTGTGGGGCTCTGTCTGTGTTGTTGTTGTTGTTGTTGCTGTTGTTGTGTTTTTGGACTTTCCCAGTGGCAGGTCAGTATAATTCATTCTTATGCAGGGGCAGGGTGTGACTGAAGAGATGCCCCATAGTGACTACATGGGGCTAACTCATGAACCAAAATTTGTCTAATGTAATTATATTTTTTAATTTGTTTGTTTCTTCCACCAGGAAATTGTCAACTTCAACTGCCGTAAGCTGGTAGCCACCATGCCATTGTTTGCTAACGCTGACCCCAACTTTGTGACAGCAATGCTGAGCAAATTAAAGTTTGAAGTTTTTCAGCCCAATGACTACATTATAAGGGAAGGCACAGTGGGTAAGAAGATGTATTTTATTCAACATGGAGTGGCAAGTGTCATCACCAAGTTTAACAAGGAGATGAAGCTCACAGACGGCTCTTATTTTGGAGGTAAGATAAGCACAATGCACCTTCCTGCACTATTTTAGTGTCTTTACACTCATTATTTGAAGCTAGCCTGTGGTTAAGTGCTTGCTGCTGTTTGAAGTTTGGTTGTTGTCAGTGTAGATTCTCATTATCGGTGTTGGACATTAGTCAGCTCCTGTGATTATATAAGCTATCATCTGGTAGTTGGGGTAGGCCAAGGCTTAGAACAGGCATCCCTGAGGAAGCTTAGAGGTCCCTCCCCCACCCAGGAAGACATGAAGGCATGCATCAGCTCCCCCCATACTGTACAGTGCGTTCCACTTACTCTCCTGGCACAAAGCCAAGACGGTAGAGGCTGTGTACTGTCTATGTAATATAGATGCTATTATTAAGAAAACATTACAATTATATATATATATGTGTGTGTATATATATATATATATATATATATATATATATATATATATATATATATATATATATATATATATATAGCTGGAAATTTATGGAGCAGCCATGACCTTGACCTCTATTTATATACTTTGATATGAACATTTTTATGTACAAAGGCAGCGGTTGTGGGCAGGAATTGTGAAGTCGCTATTTGGTCCTGAAGTCATCAGTGATTGTGAAAGGGAAACCGACTGGTGTCACACTGCATCAAGACAAGTGTAAAGAGAGCTGCCACTTCACAAACTCATTTCAAACAAATCTGCATGTTCACAATATTTAGTTAATAGGTAATAAGTAAGATTACAATCAGTTTGAAACCATCTATATACTCCATAGTCTAATGTAAAGCTGTAATCTCTTTTAAAAGTCTGATACCCTCTGATAAATAATCTTAGTGTATCAGAAGTGGCAGGACTCTCACTTAAGACCATAGTGCATCTGCATCAGAATGTGCATGTCATTTAAGGTTATTGCTTTTATTTCTCCGTGATTCTTAATCATAAAATTTAATCACATCTTTCCTTGTTAATCCTTGCCTTACAGAGATCTGTCTGCTGACCAAGGGCAGGCGCACAGCCAGTGTGCGTGCAGATACTTACTGCCGTCTCTTCTCCCTGTCTGTGGACCATTTCAATGAGGTGTTGGAGGAGTACCCAATGATGAGAAGGGCATTTGAGACTGTTGCCATTGACCGGCTGGACAGAATCGGTAAGATCTCCCCCCCATCTATCTCTTCACTGTCTGATTTGTCAGATATCCTGCCTGTTGTTCTGCTTTTCTTTTTGTCCTTATCAATATTTGTTTGCATTCATTCTTTACACAAGCATTGTGTCTGCCATTTTGTGCTGCATGACCTGTATGCAACTCATTATTTGTCCTGTAGCCTATCAGTTTGTTGAAACCAGCATTAATCCTTCTAAAGAACCAAAGTAGTGTTTTTGTGGTTGGATTAACTGGAAGGCAGTGCATGTTCCTGTCCGGGAGGGAGTCAGGTCGCCCCCTTGTTGGTTTGGTGTTGACCCCCCACTGGATGCCAGCGAGTGGTTAGAAGCTAATCTAACATGCATGTTTGTGGTCTTCTTCCACTCATCTGCAATCCTGGGTATGAGCAGCACCCCATTTCGGGCAACTTAGCAGGTCAAAGATGTCAGAGTGGTTTCAAGCACACCACTAACGTCTGTCATCTGCAATGGCCATCACACACAACAAAGTTTCAAAATAATAATAACAGTAAAAAGTTCTATTTGTTAAAAGGGGCACATGTATGGAGCACTAAAAGGGCAATAATTATTAACATCCCCCAATTTTTTATTTTTTTTATGAGATTATTCAACTCTTTATTTTTGGTTATATATTACCTCAGTCATTTTAGTAAATATGGCAGGAGTGCCATTCTTGAGAAAAAGCCCTCACAACCTAATATATTAATATATACATATATTAAAATAATTTAAATGTTAGTCAGATAACTGAACTTTACTTACTCAGTCCTGTCCAGTCCTCAAAGGCACTGGTCAGATGATCAGTCAAGTTATGATGATGTTACTGATTAGGAATTACCAGAATCAAGCTTTTGAGTAAGACAATCACATTATACATTATAGTTTGTTTGTAAAATGATGAATAGTTTGATATAGGTATGTAAGATACCTGTGATAATAGGCAAGATTTGCTTCAACAACACAGTGTAGCTTAATGAGTGATCATTATTCGTCACCATCTATATCTAGAAAGAATCTGTTTATTTGTTGTGGTTGTTTTGCCATGGTTTTATTTTCATAGTAGTTTGCCTTTGCTTTGCAACCATTGTGTCAAGTCACCAATATGCTGTTTTTAAGCAATAGCCAAGCCAGTATCTTATTGTAAAGGTTACACTGCTTCTATAAATGCACTATTTAATCATAAGTACACCCCTAATATAGATAATTGTATTGTATGTATAAGTATATGACATTATCATACATTTATTTGTTTTCTTTGTATCTTTTCATTAATGCCCTTGAACAGAAACATATGCCCTTTTTGAGACTAATTGTGCTGGGGTATTTGTCTCATACAAGGGAAGATACTTTGTCATGATCAGTGCTGGTTGTATCGTTCTATTTATGGAAATGCATTTGGTTACATGCTTGTCTTGCAATAAACTAAAAGAAAGAAACGTAACCATGCTTTGAAGCAAATGACATATTGCACATTTGACACTATCTTTTATCTATTTAAAAATTATTTGACCAGGAGTCCGTCTTGAGACGAGCACATCTCGTTTTCAAGAGTGTCCTGGCCGACGAGTAGGCATCAGGTAAACACTTTATTCCAATTCTAGTGTTCCAATGGGGCAAAGTGACCTACAGCTAAATGGATCTGGTCTCAAATTCATCCAGAGTCTTACGCACAATGTTATTGTAACTGTTTAACTGCTGCATCAGTAACACATAACTTCAACCACCCATACAAGACAATCAAGGAAACAAAGGCTTCATTTTGTTTTGTCTCACTGATGTCACAGAATAATCATACTGATTATTTACGCACACAACTAGATGATTTTAATCCTTTGTTCAAAGTGCATTCACAAAGTAAACCATTTTTTTTTAGATATTTTATGTATGTAATACCACAAACTGTTTTTGAAGTCATTTTTGTTTATGTATTTATTTGTGTTTTCACCAGTCAAGAACATTTGTTTCTGATTGTCTGTTTTTAAAAAATATATATTATTATTTTATTATCATATTGAAGCACAATTAATATAAAAACACTCTTTTTTAAAAGAAAAATAATAAGAGTTTTAGATCAATGAGATGTGATAAAAGGATAAATACTTTTGTTTTGTAAATTTTAGGCCAGAAGAACTCTCTCTCAGGAATACTGTTTACTACTACTACCTACTCTATTTACCAAAAAAAGGGAAAGCTTCATTGAGCGCACCAGTGGGGGAAAATCCATGTTTGAAATGTTACTAATTCTCTTTAAGGAAGTATGATGTTCTTGTGCCAGAAATGGCATAAGTGACAGCCACCATGAGCATTATTGCTATTGCGATTCTCCCATGTATGTAAATATTTATGATAAATAAAAAAGTCTCAACAAGTTTATTATGCATTTCCAATCTGCAGAATTTAACCCCATCACCTTCAAAAATGCAATGAAAGCATACCTGTAAGTGGACCGTAGTAATGGTTTGTATGTGATGACTGATCCCCTTAGTTCCTGTAGAAATGATTGTGAACTGAAGCACAAAAATATGCCCAAAATGTGAGTCACCATTTGGAAGTACTAAATCATTCTCTTAATAAAAGGTAAGGCTATAAGATATCCTGAAGTTTGACGGACAGGTGGACTCAATAATCAACTATAGCTGAACCTAGTGCACTCAGTCATCTACAGTGATGGTCTGTCAATACTCTGGTTCAACAGTATTGACATATCCTTAGCATAATGTTTACAATTAACAATCATTTCCACAAAAAAGAGTTTACCATAACACGAGGAGTACATTTTTGGCCTTATCCTAGGTAGTAAAACATTGGGATTTGTCCTTGTACTTCTGTAGTGAAATAATCATAAGGTAACAATAATACATATGTTCTTCCAGTAAATGGCATTTTAGGCTAGATGTGTTTGTTTTTGCAGTTTTATAAGTGTCTTTCTCCCTAGAGTATAGACCTTGCAGATTAATATTGTTGGTGTCTAGTGGTGTGGCGTTTGTCCACCTCATTTGTATTCCTGTATTCCACTGTCTACATCAGCACCTGCATAGAGTTTACTTTCACATATCATATGGATCTTTGTGTCCTTAGTGTTACTCACCTGGTAGTCGTCATGTCCATAGACATTTCCACTGAATGTCCTTTACAATTTCAATAGTTTTACTGAATATAAGATCCAGCTTGTAATGTCTAAAAACATCATTACCACAGTCATTTGGAACTTTCATGCCTTCAGTGGATTTTTAGCAGAATTCACCAGACAAACATACAAGCTGAATCTTTGTAATACTGTCAGTATTTAGTCTGGTGCTGCCACAGATGTTTATGCTGACCCTGTCTGACTGCGTCTCCAGGGAAGAAGAACTCCTTGCTGCTGCAGAAGTTCCAGAAGGACCTGAACGCCGGCGTGTTCAACACCCAGGAGAACGAGATCTTGAAGCAGATCATTCGTCAGGACAGGGAGATGGTGATGATGGTGGACCGCAAGCAGTCAGTTACCGGGATGAACTCAACCCCAATGTCAGGAAACTCCATCATTAACTCACCAGCTCAACCGCCATACTCCACTGCCTTTGGCACCAGTCAGCTCCAGCAGTCCTCAGTACCTCTGACCTATAGTGCTTCAGCTATTGCCAATGCCTCCGCTGGCCGCATCCTGCCTGTGGCTGCAGCTGCCGCGGCTGCTGCTGCGCAGGGCATTTTCCCTGCTCCCAGTATGTCCCAGGGCAACCTGAACTCCTCCTCCATCAACCCCCAGACCCCACTGCAGACTCCCCTGCAGCAGCCGGGCTCCATCATATCTCCCTGCTCCTTCACCGCTGCCATGTGCAGTCCTCCTGTACAGACACCCCTAGCCAGTCGGAGCTTCCAGTACAGTTCTCCCACTGCCTCCCAGCTGTCCCTCATCCAGCAGCCCAGTCAGCCTGCGCCTTCACTCCCCCCACAGCCTCCGCTCCCTCAGCAGCCCATTGTTTCCACTACAGTGGGTGCCTCTGCAGCCCCACAGCCTCCTCCTCAGCAGCAGCAGGCCCCTTCTCCCCAGAGGGGCGACGTCCACAAGAGCACACAGGCTCTTCAGTCGGGCAGCTTGAGTCGGGACCTCCGACACTTATCAGCCTCCCAACCTTCACTGCCACACGACACATCCTTGGGGCCCAGGGCACACCCTGCGACAGGAGACTCTCTGGCCTCCATAGTGCCACCCACAGCGGCTGCAGCCATCCAGGGAATGAGTCTGCAGGGTATCCGCAGCACCATGCCCCAGCGGGTCAGCCTGTTCCGACAGATGTCATCCGGAGCCTTGCCCCCGGTGCGCTCGTCACCTGCAGCCACAGCAGCTGCAGCAGCAGCAGCAGCGGCTGTCCCCACCCCACCCTCTTCCACCGCCCCACACAGGGAGTCTCCTGGCTCTAGAAGAGATTCTGTTCTTAGCAGTACAGAGATTGAGCAGGACAAAATGCGCTTTGCATCAAATTTATGATCTTTTTTTTTTTTTTTTGAACTATATTTAATTCATTTTTAATGATGGAGATCAAACAAAAGAGATAAATACACTGAACTTAACATTTTTGTTTCTCTCCAACGCTCTTCTACAATAACCTCATAGAAAACCTGTACATACATTTCTTGTATTATATTTTAGACAGATTGTCTCCCTAAACTTAAGAATGTATATTATACAGATACATTTCTTTTCTTTATCGCCATATACATGAAGTATGAATGTGTGAGTCTGAGAGTGTGTGTGTGTGTGTGTGCGTAAGCAAAATAAATCTACAATAAACTGTATGGCAACAGCAATTGAAGCTGTATTATAAACATGAGTCTTCCTTTCAAACTAATATACACAATGTATGTTTTGTTTTGTTTTGTTTTTTGTTTAGTTTTTTTCATTTGTTTTCATTATGGCTTTTATGGTTGTTGTCTTTTATTAGATGCATTGTGGATTTGGAGGAAATGTTTGTTTGTTTGTTTTTTGTTTTTTTACCATTTAGGATGAAGAATAGTTTCTTCTCCTACTAAGCAGCTTTAGACACCACTGTGGAAGATCAAATGCAAGAAAATTATTGGACAAATGATTTAATGACAAAGCACATGCTGCTTGAAGAACTATTGGTGAATGAAATCTCCAGTCAGAAGTCCACGTGAATACTGTACGTGTGTAAGTGTTTTGTTTCTCATCAATGGAAATATAGTCTGCAGAGCCTCTATACTCCACAACGGCTCACATTCAAACCATGACAGTGTTATGGGCCCAAAGGGAATAGATAATAAAAATGCTGCTTTCTTTGTTTATTTTTGAAGAGAATCAAGTGTGAAGACATATGAGGATGGATACTATTGTTTTGTATTTCTGATTTCCAATGGCTGAGATGTTGCTTAAAAAATCTGTATATTTATAATATTTATAAAGTAAAGATTACCACCATTATGCAATAGACTGTGACATAAAGATACCTATATGTGTGTAAATAGTTTTGTAGATCTACTGTAGTATTTACAGATACTGTGTGGTGCATTCTCTATCATAACAATGTCTTACTTCCTACTTCTGGTTATCATTGCTTCATATGTGACAGTTAAGTGACAAAACACTCAAAACGTGATCAACAAACCTTCATGCAATTGCTAGCACTATGTGTTTAATACAGTTTCCTTTTCTGTTCAATTAAGAGTTGATATTTGAAATATTTATTAAAACATGTTTAGCATTAAAATCTGACATATCAAAGTCCAGCCACTTTGTAAATTTTCCAAACTGATATTTTGTTGCTTAGTACTACTACTACTACCACTTTTTTATGTAACATCAAGGCGTTTGGGTATTTAGACATGTCGTATTTTGCATATATTATCTAATCTGTGGTCTTTGTTCAGTGCTTACTGTATTAAGGTTTGTTGCATCAAATTCCACAATGTGCACTTAGCCACTTAAAACAAGTCTGAAAAAATTAATCCGAATAAAAAAGAGTGATATGATACATTGCCCAACGTTTAGTGAATCGACAACAATTAAACTGAAACTGAAAATCTGCTTTTGACTTTTGAGTTTAGTAAACCTCTTTTTAAGTGGCTAAATCACAATACAAAAAGAATATGTGTTCAGATTTTGTCAATGGTGTACCGGTACAGTCAACCCACCAATATCATGAGAGCATGCACTGTCACAGATACTACTTAAAAGATACTATCTCCAAAATGTTGACAAAATGTAATGTTAGATTCTGTTGTTCATTGTCTGTCTGCCTATAGGTGTTATCTGTGTGTGAAACAGGAGCATTGACTTTTCACAAGGACGTTCTTAAGTATTTGTGCCTAAACTATAGCCATGTTCCATTCTTTGTTATGAGTGCGATCTGCAGTGCGAATGGGAGGGCACTTCTGCACACAATTACGCATTCATCCTTACTATACTCTGTGTGTTCTGTGTCTCTGTGTTATAGACTGGAAATGAGGATGCAGTGATGATGGCCAAATATCCCAGTTCATCTAACAATATAACAATGCTAAGTTCTAGGGCAAGTTTTTTTTCTTGCATTCTCACTCAAGCTATATGTACAGTTAAAAGAAGTGCAATCTTTGCCGTAGTACCACATTGAGTGAGTCATTGTATAAAGTTGCAGCACTTTTCTATCTTTCTTTGTAGCTAGTCACCGGTGTTCAGCGTTATTTTGATGCGTGGAAGGAAACTGGCCAAAGCAAACATTCTGAGTCATAGTCTTGTTTCGAATTGCACTTTCTGATTTAATAACTAAATGTTGCAATTAGGTTAGATGTTGATGGGAGCAATATCCACAGGAGCAGGCATCGGCCTGGTCCTGTACAAAGTTCTAAATGAGGGCAGAGATGTTCTATTTACAACGGAGAGCGCTTAATCATGAATATGCCATAGTGTATAGGAACTAGTACACAGAGAGATGGATATCAGCACTGTTGGTTTGTGCTGTTTTTGATACTTGCCTTCAGAGGGAGAGCTTCCCAACTATGTGCTTTTTTCACTGTACCAATCACTAACATACTGGAATGGGCATTATTAGTGACGCACAACACAAACTAACAAGCTTACATATGAAGCAGTAGAGACTCTCGACAAACCAGCACGCACATTTGTATATTCCTTTGTCTGTTCTGTATCTGAGCGGAGAGAAAACAAGTGATGCAAATAGACTGAGATTAATGCCCAAACTGGATTTTGAAGACCACTGGTTTCATATGTTTACTGATGATGCGCAGTGGGGAGAGGGGCATGGTCCTCTGTACTCACCACTCACACAGTCATTGTTTAGCAGCTCATTCATGTATCCAATGCTTAGAAAACACAAACTATCAGTTGGTTACTTGATACAGATGAAAGATGGGTAAATGTAAACTTTCTTACAACAATATGCAGACAAACAGTGTTTGTCAAAAAAATCCTTTTTTTTTTATTTTTGTTTATTTTTGTTTGTAAATAATAAACCTTTAAAATATAGAAAATAAAGGACATATTGTCATTTAAGTATGTGTGCAGTGCTTTTTAAAAGGTTTTACTGAGATTTGGGTGCATTTATTCACCATATTAACTTTTTACTTTTTGTTCAAACATGCTATATTTATTGAAAATGGTCATTTTTATATATTAAACCCTTAACTCGTGGTTGATTGGACTGCAGTGTGTAATTGAAACAGAGGCTGGGCACAGCTCGTGTTGCAGTGGTTTGAGATTACCTCTGCACAGAGCCACAGTCAAGGGTCAGAGGAGGGTGAGACATGCTCCACATGTTGTGAACACACGTTATCAGCAGCACACCAGCCTCATTATATGGCTGTCTAACATTCATGTAATGATAGAGAGGGTGGATGAGATGTGATCCTGGCCAAATATGTAAAGGTCATTTAATACTATGGTACCTGGCTCAACAGAGCCTCGCTGTACAGCCTCCACTATTACGACTGAGTTCAGTTCTAATAAACAGCCTTGATTAAGTCACACAGGAGCCATACAAAGCAAATCCATTCATCCCCCATTAGGATGGAAAAAGTGCTTATCTGTGCTTAATTACAGAGAAAGCTTTGCCTAATGGCACGAAAGAATACCCTTTTACCATGCTTAAACAATGGGGTAAGAATGGCAGAAGATATTAGCTTCAGTAAAAAATCAACACGACTAGTAGAATGGCAAAAAATCTCCAAATGTATACACAACTGTAAAATGCTTTATAATGCATCATGAGCAAGACAATGTAAAAAGGAGAGCAATCCAAAGAAAAGTTATGAATTATTATATTGCTACAAGCTAAATGCAAAACCATGTTACATGCTACATCCCTGTTACACATTACATATCTGAGTACCAGTTTTACCTTTGATGTGTAGAGGTTTAAATACCTGGGTCAACAGGACATTGTTGTGTAACCTTCATTCTGCTATTTGTTTCAGAATAGTGTTATCCTATGGATTATATTAGTTTGGGATTACACAGGGAAGCCTATTGAGGTCACCCAGTCCACCAAAGAGACCTTTATTTTTAATACAACCTGTGCATTTTTCACATACGATTATTGGAAACTACAGATTATTTTAACATATAATACAAATCTGTTTATGCCTTGTCTGTCCTCCTGTTCATTGCCTTTTACTTTACCAAGGACAGTGTGATGGCAACCTTACCCATGAATAACTTCAAGGAGAAACCTTTACTACATCTCTGATTGGTGATTAATCAAACAGGAGACCTAGAATGCTTTTAGACATATTACCTTGTCCTTTGCCATGTTCACCACTGACAAAGCTGTGTTACGTGTATCTTCGTGCACTGACGACACAATGTTCTGGGCAGCAGGGTAAAAGAAGGGACACTCATTTAAATGCACAATATGTAATGCTGCTGCTTTGTCTAGGTCTCTGTCTGGACAGCCTCTTTGTACTCACTGCAAGCACACACAAACACACACACACATTCTTTTGCATTTTGGAACAATAGGACATAGGAACAGGGAATGTCTACATTTAAACAATACATTTTTCTGTGACCACAAGAAATCTAACTTCATTTTGGCTTTTCTTTCTTGAACATTACTTTCTGAGTATTCCATTTACATGCATTCAATATGAAGGGAAATATTACATAAACTTAAACCAGAACATTTTAATAACAATAATAATAACAATAAATCTAATGCCTTTTCCTATAGTCCTTATAAGTAGAAATTATAATTTGCTATGTATATAATACCATTTTCATGGCCCAGTACTCAAGTACAGTGTTCCTTGGCTTGTCTCTCCCACTGACGAGAATCGCCTGCAGGTTATTCTGTCCAGTACAGCCTTGTTATTATGTGGGCCCCAGATGTGCGCAGTGTGACTCTAAGCTCTCTGCTGCTCCTGGCCTTCACACAGTGTTTAACCTCACATACTGACTGTTGGACACTGCCATGACCTCAGCTCAGAGGTCACACACTTCATGTTAGCAGGTAGCACACAACTTCTCCCTCACAGTAA